AATCAAAACAAAACAAAAATCATGTCAAACAAAAAGAGTAGAATTCAATCAAAACAAAACAAAAATCATGTCAAAACAAAAATCTAAAATTTTTTTTAAAACCTTGAACCTTTGTGTGCACACATAATAATAATGGCCATTCGTAGGCATCAGCGCTGACTCTCATACCCCAATGATGCGTTGGCCGGTGTTCTGTCAGATCAGCATACATTGTCAGACAGTCATACGCATGTCCATACCAACTTACAAAAAGATTAAAATGTCTCACGTTTGTTATTTTCCTATAAAAGAAAAAATGAGGCGGTTACTTTTAAGACATTTATTTATTTTTCCCCCTAAGACAAAACAAAGTGCTGCCTTAGTGATACATTAGTTTCAATAAAGCTTCTGATCTCAAATACCAGATTTAAGAGCATGCAGAAACGAACAGTAGGAATATGTTGTTGGTCACCAACTGAACAGGCTGCAAACACTGCTAATACAATTACATTGTTGCCTTAATGATGATGTGTATGCATTAAATAGCAGTAACGTGAGTCCCATAATATTCAAAGGCTGAATGTTTTTTTTTTATTATAGTTATTCAAACAAAGCGAGTATGGTGTTAAAAGTTGATTCTGACTATAAAAATAATATTAAACATTATAAACAACCAAAGCTTGATGTAGTATTTATGAAAAAAGCTGCAATTTTCCCTGCTAAGCGGTTTAAGTACATTCCTCCTCCACTCTTTCTGTATTATGAATAGAGAGATGAATTCTTGACTTATGAAGAAGTCAGTGACTTCGCCACATCCAACACGATGACTCCGACTGGAGATAATATTCACTTCACGGTCTGTTGGTGGACTGACTGACATCTAGGCTCCTGTTTTATCACCAGGTGTTGTCTTGTTTGGTGGGATGTTTTGTTTTAATGGTCCAGTCTCCAGTTTTTTGTTGTTGTTGTTTTTCCTCTCCTATAGTCTCAGTTAAAGTGCCTTCGACCCCATCCTCATCTCTTCTTTCCAGCTGTGCCGGGGACTAGAAATGGGTGTAGAGATTGTTATCGCGCCATATGGTTGCTCTTCTTCGGAGGCAAATAAAGAGTGTCTGCAATGAAATTACTCAGCTGTTACGGCTGTATAAATGAGACCTGGATGAGTGCACGGTCTGCTGCTAAGAGAGTTTCGCTTTTAAGTGGAAGAATACCCAAATAAATCATGAGTGCTCCTCAGCGCTGCCGCTGAAGGAACGGCTCCGGATGTGGTTCCTTAGCTGTTCGATGAGCTCTGGGTTCTGCTGCTGGATTTGCTGGGCGAACTGCTGGCCCCTGATGGCGGGGGGAAGAAAAAAAAGGCAAGAAAGAGGAAGTCTTGTTATATTGTTTAACATCCATAAAGGTTAGGAACATACAATTTAAAATAAACTGCATTTTTCTTAGGAAAATGCCCAAAGATATTTGGAGTAGGGCTGCAATGAATGATTATTTTAGTAACTGATTACAATTAATCAGATTTAAAAATAATTAAAAAATCTGGCACATTCTGCAAATTTTTTATTTCATTTTGACTTAAGCCCTGTTTATACAATATTAGAAATACTTGCTGTATTTCCTTTTCCTTGAAATGATGTAACATAGCATTCATATAATATACACTTTATCATTTGTAGCAAAGGATGCATCTGCAGCTAAAAAAATTGCTTATGCTCCAAGTGTCTCATGGCCTTTTTTCAGTCTTTTATCCTCCAGTTAACAGTTGCTTATTAAATTAGTTTCTATTTCGAATAATCACTTAATCTGATTAATCGTGATTAATCAGTTAATTGTGGAAAGTATCGTTTCCACAACTAAAATAATACTTTTGTTCTGAGTATGTTGTTCTTTCAGCTAATGGCCTTTTATTTTAGTCTGTATACTCCAGTGAACAATTAATTAAAAAAAAAAAATTAATTAGTTAATGATTATTTCGTTCCATTAATCCTGATTAATGCGATTAATCTGTAACTGAAAAAATACTTCTACTCTGAGTGTGTTGTGCTTTCAGCAAATTGCCTATTTGTGGTTCGTATTCTCCAGTTAACAATTAAATGACTATTAAATTACTTGACAATTATTTCAATTAATTGAATTAATTGATTTGAGCTCTAATTTGGAATTTACAAGTTAAGGCCATAACATTGTTGTAAAAGGTTAAAAGCTAGTTGTATGGTTTACATGAATTAAATCATAAAACTAATAGAGCTATGTTTCGCAAAAGACATGAAGTATTGCATAAATGGAAGGCAGAGCTTTGGCAATGTCATTTTATATGGAAGAGTTAGAAGCAGCGTTATTGCTCAGTTGCTTTCTTGCCAAAGACAAATGGATCAATACCAGCAGCAGCTGGAATGAATCCTGGAAATGGCTCCCCAACCCCCATAAACTGAAGCAAAAATGTATATTACAGTCATAACTTGTGCAAATCTTCTGTCTTCACTCTTCTACTTACGCCTCAATCAAGCTGGAGATGTCAGACAGTCCTCCCACTCCTGCGGCAGGACCTCTGACTGCATTCGACATCATTCCCGACATGCTGAGCACACAGAGACAGTGAGTAGGTTGTGCGATTAAAAAAAGAAAAAGAACCGATTAAAACTGCAGATTCCATTCAAGCTTTTGAGCCGATTCCAAACATGGTTAAATCTGCATTGCACTCACAGCTGCTGGACTTGTTGGTTCTGCATGACGCTCGCGGCCTGTAAACAGAAATGGAGCCGAAATCAATCGGGTTGCACACAAACACTGTAGGAGGAACAATTTACTGCCGATCGCATTGGCGGTTTTATGACGAAACGGGGCTCGTAATTCCTTGGTCTGGATGCAGCCGGGCTGCTATTGGATTCAGATGTGTCTTGTCGTTGCCGCAGTAAAACTATGGCAGGTTTGTAGAAATGTTCTTGACCCGGCTGGCCCTCCCACGTCTCATAGTTTTTACATGCTAGGAGCCAAGGGTAAGACATTTTAACAACGCAATAACTTTAACGGTTAATAGGAACCAGTGTTGAGGATCCTGGCCGCCTATATCGACAAGCTTTTTGTCAAAACTTTTTCAAGTACAACAGAGTTACCAGGAGTCTCACCATGCTGATGAAGGCTGGGTTGTTGATTAAACTTGCCATGTCAAATCCCAATCCGGCAGCAATCTGTAACAGTGTTGGCAATTTAAAAAAAAACAAAACAAAAAAAAAAACAGTTTAAGTTGACAACAATCAAGTAATCGGTAATTAACTAAAATAAAACATTCCCATTTTCACTCACTGGGCTAGAAGCTTCTTTATGCTTCTGCTCTGCGATCTTCAGGTTGGATTTATATGTGTCATTCTCCGGGTCTAGAACCAGGGCTTTCTTGAAGTATGAAATCGCCTCTGGATACTTATTCATTGCAGTTAAAGCCAAACTGCACCCACACACAAGGTAGACAAATCAGATTCAATATACACAGGGACCTCCACAATTTGACATCTCTGCAAAAAAAAAAAATGTGTAAAACACCCTAAAATTAAAACATCTCCTGTGGAAGCAGCGAAATCTCAGACAGAAAAATGTCAGAAACTAATCAGTGTAGTTGATGGCAGCATGATTCAGCTTGTAGTTTTACATTCTGCAACTATCCCAGGAGGTTGTGTCCTGGAACTTTCTACAACTTTCTACTTATCAAATATAGCTTCTCAAAACTTTCCAAAGCTCACCAGAAAGAAACTGTGATAACCTTGGTAGAAGAGGAACTTACTGGGCAATGTCCTGAGCCTTTCAAGGTACTTTCATGAAACCTATATGATACTTTCTTAAATTGTTACGGTACTTTCCAGAACTTATTTTCCATAAGCCTTTCAAACAAATTCATGGAATTTACCAGAAAGGTTGTAGAACTTAGTAGGTGCTTTCATTAAATTTATTGGGTACTTTTTTGGAATTTTCCAGGTACTTCCCTTGAACTTTCCTGGAACATGCCAGATACTTTCCAAGTTATTTGCTCGAACTTTCATTGAACATACTAGATACTTTCCCATAGCGTATAAGTTACTTTCTGGATTCTGCCAGGTAGTTTTAATGGAATTTTAGAGGTACTTTCCCAAGAAGTGACCAGCAAGTTCTGCGAAAGTTTCAGTGCACTACTAGGTAAGTACTCAGAAAGTTCTGGGAAGGTTTTGGGGTAGCATTATGTGAAGTTATACTAAATATCCAAGAAAAAAAGGCTGTAAGTTGTGAAAAATTCCGGGTTGTATTATGTACTGATCCCTAACTTTTACATTTTTTAAACCATTGCTACACTTACTAATGTCCGATTAAAACCTCCCTAAATGAATGTAGTTAATCCTTTCTTTTCTTCCTTATTTTTTCAGAATGCCTACATTGTCTGTATTTTTTTCACAGGAAAACATGAAATTGGGGATTAATGTAAAACTTCAATGTGACAGATATATTTCGCCTACTTCATTTTCACAAGAGTAAGACAACAGATGAAATAATTTGAGAACGATATGTGTATTGATCTTAAATATCAATCCATCCATTAGTCACAGGAAAATAGCCACTGAAGTAACCAACTAAATGTGTTCATATCACCAAACAGTTTTTACGTTTTCAATTGGAAGCTTTTATTTTTTACAACTTTTACGAGGAATGCCGATATTAGCACAGCATGCTTTATTGTTAGTTTACAGTCATAAACTCACCCCATCCTCCCATATGCTTTGCTGTAGGTTGGATCAATCCCAATGGCTCTTTCACAGTCTCCAGTCGCCTCAGTATAATTACCCAGTTTACTGTGAGCAGCAGCTCTACAAAGAAAATACATTCATAAATAAATCAGAGGTCACTTATAGAGTCTGCATCAGCACCTGAAGACGGTACACTGGCTTTACAACATGGAATTATAAAACCACAATTAGACCTTTATTGAATCACAGCATTGGACACAAACTATATGTCCTTAGTACCTGTTGCAGTAATACACAGCGTTTCTTAGGTCCAGATCTATGGCCTTTGTGTAGCATTCAACTGCACATCTGTAGTTTTCCTCCTTCATATGATTGTTCCCTAAAAAAATTTGAGAACAATTGTAAATGATTTGAACTTATCGTCACTTATCAAAATAATGACCTACGTCATTTTTTGCCAAGTGATTTTGTTTCTTGGCAAAAAAAGATGATTTTTGAAAGAAATAAATCACTTTTGCTAAAAAAAATGAGTTAGACCACTATATTGGGTATGTTTATGCTTTACATGTTTTTAACCTGATTATGTAGAAGTATGGGTTCCAAAGCCACTGGAGCCTCTTTTTAAACACATGCAAAACAATATTTTGCATCCTTCGTGATTAATAAACAGTTGCATAGCGGTAATCCTCCTGTCAGGGTAGAAACCACTCACAACAACTTTGTATTGATTTTCAGTGAACCTTCTCCGTTAAGGCTACTAGTGGATCCAACCCGTGCCAATAAAATGTCACTCTGAGCAGGTCAGATCTGCCGGATCTCTCCAATGCAGCTGAAGGGTTTGACATTTTTAATTTAGCGTGTCCCCTTGTGGATTCTAATCTACAGTTCTGGTGCAGATTTTTACTTAAAAAGATCCTAACCCCTTTTTTTTTTTAAAGCAAATGTTTTTAAGCTGCAGTAAAGAAATTAATTCAATGTCCATCTGTTTATATTCAGAATGGTTAAGAGTTTCTGACATGATGGATGGAGTAACATACAGAGTGAAAGTCTTGACAATGAGGCGGAGGGTAAGCTCCCAGCATGAGCCCAACAATACATCCAACGCTACAGTGGGAATGGTTCAGATCGAAACATACGAGTCAGAATAGCCCATTCAAAGTCTAAACCTCCCTGCGACAGACTGGCGACCTGTCCAGGGTGACCCCGCCTCTCGCCCGGAACGTTAGCTGGAGATAGGCTAATCTATGTTTTTATTATTACTTGATTTTTGCAAGGGGAAATGAACAGGGAAACAATCATGCACTGTTCCGTTAATGTTTGGACTTCTGATCTCATTTATGCTTTTGTTTTGATCATTTGTTTATTGTTAACGTCCTTATTTCTTGCCATCTGTTTATCCCATTGTGTAAGTTTACCTGCTTCCTTCCCCAGCTGCATCCATTCACCTGTGATTAGCTCTTCTGGTTCTCTTTTTATTTCCACCCTCCATCAGTAATCCCTCACTGCTGGATCCTCTGTAATTCCTCCCAATTTTAGTTGTTTTCCTACAGCTTTATGTAACTTCTCTGTTTTATTATTCATTCAATATTATCTGACACTATGCTGCGTCGCCTGCACCACCCCAGTCATGAAAATCATTTAAAATCCCATTGAAACACAGTGAAATGTTTGTCTGTAGCTTGACAAAACATGGAAACGCAACAATGTATTTGCATCTGCTGACAACATACCTTCATTTTTAAGTTGCTCTGCCCGTTCTATGTCTTCAGGAGACGGGGACGTCTCTGGTACGGTGAGATTGTCGTTCTGTGACATAGAAAAGTCACCGATGAGATTTAATAAACATAAATGAAACTATTAGAGAGGATTTCTTTTTGTCTGGTAGTTCCAATGAAAGGAAAACGACACCTCAACTTTCACTTTGCTACAAGACTCCAGGGACTGATCTTTGAAGAGCATCGATTTGAAATGACATATTTGCAATAAAGCAGGTAACTGTTAACATTTCTCATACAATGTGTTAAACGGCTGCTTCCATCGTGTGCCTTGGTATGTCACCACGCTACACCGATGTAGTTGTCACCACCCACCTTGAGCAGGGCGTTGAGGAATATCTCTCTGAGTGGCTGGGATACAGCGAGATGGCAGTCACTGGAGCCGATCTTGAAGGTAGTCTCCAAGCACTGGATCGCAACTGAAGAGAGGAAATGATCATACAGTTCAGAGTAAGTAAATTATAACAGTGTGAGTAAATTTCTTTCAAGAATTTTTTTAATCTACACAAGAAAGCATGGTGGTGGCAGCATCATAGTGGTCCACGAAGCTGGTGAACTGTGGATAAAAACCCATAAAAGGCTGCCAAGAAACTGTGTGTTCTGGAGCTGCAAGGGCTATAGAGAAAGAGTTCATATGAAGGCATATTCATGTTTTAGAATGTGACTTAGTCAAAACAAAAATCCAGTCAAGAGTCTGTGGTAAACCTTAAAATTTAAAACCCAAATAAATAGAAAAAGAAGTCTAAGGGGCATGAATTCTTTGTAGTGGATTCTCTATACAGGTGTACAGAATATTTGGGTGAGCTGACTTACCCTCCAGGCTCTCTTGCTCATCAGAATTTAAAGCACTGCGATGAGTTTGGTCTCGTAGAAATTGCACAATAGCGAACGCCAGGCGCTTCTCCACGGCCATTTTGACCCAGAAACTGTTGAGCACAGGAGGAGATTCGGATTTGGAAAAAGGAGGGCACTCGTTTTTGAATCCACCATGAGTGATTTGTCAGAAAATGGGAAATGAAATGCGTTTCCACAGTTTTCAATCATGTAATTGAAATGTAGTTTTTAGTATTTAAATTGCAGTTCCTTATTATTCCAATTAGTGATTGAATTTTAATGGAATAGTGTACTGTGCCCACATATAAAAAATTGAATATACCTGTTCCTTCAACAAAGTGAAGAACAAACAGTTCACTTTTTTGATTAATACTACTGAAAAAGTGACTTTAGATTGAATGTGGTATTGCCTGAGTATTCTGTTAATTTACATCCCTCAGTCTAGATTTCTTAATCAACCATTTTAGATCCCACTGTATGTTTTTGGCTCTTTGTTCTTGTTACTGCAATAAGTTGCGTTGGATTTTATTTAAGGGACTCTGAGTAAAGAGAGGAATAATTTCCTTGGTCAGAGGCTTCTTCAAATTTGTTGTAAAACAGACTGCTACAGGAGATCTTATCTGCCAATAGCTATCATCATCCTCCAACTACTCTTTGAAGAATTTGAATTAATATGTGTTTACAATAAAATTTACTTTCCCTTTGGGATCAATAAAGTAATTCTGAATTTGAAATGGACATCAGATTTTAGATGTACCTGTTCACAGATAAACCATTTATATGGTAGTCCTATAATATTTAATTCTATGGCACTCTTGAAAAAAGAAGCATCGTAACATTTGAGGTTGACTCCCTTCTGGTTCATCCAGCCACGTTATTATCAAATATAATAAAGATTCCGGCCTTTCACGTAGTCCCTTGTTTCCAGGACAACTCGTTGCATAATTCGGACATATTTATTGTTGTTGCGTTCACACGTTGGTTGCAGCTCCACGCTGCTTCCCCTGCGCCTGACCTGGTAATAGGTGCAGCAGGGGGGGTATGGCAAAGCGATGACGGTCGGAATATCGTCTGCATGCTGATAAAAAAACACAAACACTGCCTCATATCTCCGTCACGTGCTGATGCCATTCGCTGTTCTGGTCCGGCTGGAACAGCCCACTCCTCCCTTACCGTGTGTGTGTGTGTGTGTGTGTGTGTGTGTGTGTTGACACACGGCTACATGCAGTGATGCGGGAGCTGTGATGTAAGAGGGGAGGAACTGGGGTGTTTTCATTCATAATGCACACTTTTTGCTGTTAAAAGAAAACATATTTATCAGCTCGTCGGACGGGCTATATGACACGCAGCCGGGCGTTGGCTGCTTTTAAAACAGCCTAATCTGAACACTACAATGCTCTGCAGCCGGAGTGATGCTGCACACAGGCTGAAACAAACACGACCCTCTGAGAAGGTGAAGAAGAAAACATCTCCGAACTGATTAAGCATCAGTTATTAAACCCGCGTATTCGTAATAGCTCTACGTTAAAGGGTAATGATCGGTGTCTCCCCTCCCGCCCACCTTACCTGAGCTCCTCAGCTGTCTGTTTGCCACCGCGTCATGATGAGGACGGCGCGAGCGTTTCCTTCCCCCGGCGCATGCGCTGTGGCCTGCGGAAGCGAGAGGTTTTTTTTTTTTTTTTTTTTTTCTTTTTTTTCCTTTTCTGTCACACACGAAGAGAAAACATCGACAGGAGCGCAGCTTTTGGGAGTGTAGTGGCGACAGTAAGCTAGGAAGAGTTTTTTCTGCCCTGGTAAAGCTATAAGCGCATGACAATCCGGCGGCATGTGTGCGTTAATGGTTGCAGTGTGCAGAACACTTTGCAGGTATGCCGAGCATCTGCTTCCGGCTGTTCCACATGTGTGCGATTGCAGGATTATCGCTTTGTACGGTCGCACGTGCATGGTAAAAAAAAACAAACAAAAAACATTCAGAGGTTTTGCTCTTTGGTCGTCAAGATTTTTTGTGAATTTTCAGCTGTTGTGTGAAGGTTGTCCGACAGTTATTCCAGCCTGGAAATAATTTGGGGTGAAGGGATTCCGCTGCTGTGCCGTGAAACTTTACACCGACGGCTGGACATGGGAAAAGTTTCTAACTAGCAGGAAAAGAATTCCAGTGGGGTCATTAGGAGAAAGTCCGCAAACGCTTCGGTGACACCTCTCATGCTCTGTGTCGTATAAAAAGAAGCTTTAAAATTGAAAGGAAAATATTTACACCCGTTAGTTTTTCCATATTTTGTCACATTTCAATAAGGAATGCAGACATATCTGCACTAATATTCATATCGGCCGATATTTTGAAATGATTAGTCGGTTAACTGGAGTATACTGGCTCAAAAAAGCTGATTGCTTGAAATATTGTTTGTATTCCCAAGATTTTCTAAAAGACTGATGGAAAATCTGCAGATTGTTTCAAGTTTTTTTTTTCAATTAATCATCAAATTAATTTATATTAATCTAACTAAAATAATCGCTAGATGTAGTATATATGTTTTTTAACATATATAAATAAAACTTGACTAATGTTGACAACCACTATTTATTTCAGTTAAAAAGTTACACTTTGGTCTAATCTTACCAGATCACTGTCTTTCACATGTTGTAGATTGCAAATGAAACCACCAGATATGTGGCTTGCATGACTAACAATTGCCCCAAGAGCTAATGCTTTGACCAATAATAATAATAAAAAATAAAAAAAATCATCACTTGGGTTGTGGCTCTCTGCACCTCTTTCTTGGCTTATTCTGTATGTTTGCAGTGGTGACATACCTTTTCAACATTCTCCTTGACTTGTTTGTTGTGTTCTTTGGTCTTCACTGTTGCTTGATCACATGTATTAAAAAAAGAGGTGTAGAAGAGGAATGAAAATCATTTTTGGGTTGTTAGTTAGTCATACTTAATGACTAATTTTAGCAAACTACAACAAACACATCATGCAAGGTTTTGAGCTTAAAAGTGGAAGGAGGATGGTTAGAGCTTCTTATGCATCTACAGGGCTATTGACTGTAAAAGTCCGGAGTCAATTGTGTATCCGGTCAATTGACCGGGCCTTAATTTCACATTGTCTGCAGACTACAGTGGGTAGTCTGGAGTAAAACCAGATCAAGACATTCTCACAAAACCACACTTGAGTCACTAGATCCTCTAAAAATGTGGGTCAAGCATTCAGGCTCGGAGCGTACTCTCCTAGTTTAACTCGTATCGCTTGTGACACCATATCATGTTCTTTCCACTTGTGTGTCAACTACTGCTAGACCCTCAAGACATACTTATCTTTGCCTTCAGGTGTTTAATGACTGCAACCTGCTGCTGTATTCCAGTCTTTTTTAAGGAACTGATTTCTGCTAATCTTGTCACATTAACACATGATTACGATTATAAGAGTCAATCACTCGATATTACACAATTTGATCATTTTCTGGGTTTATGAACATTCATGTGCAACAAGATTTCACTGTCATTAGCAATGATAATGTATATTTTACTGAGATGGTCGGACGCAGCCGTGCTCTGATCACTGTTTTCATAAAAATCTATTTATATTGCCCTTTATATCTCAAATTGGAATATCAAAGGGCAAATTCACACGCTGATGATGGCAAGCTACCGGATTGTAGCTACAGAAACTATTGAGTCTCAAACCAGACTTTGCCCAATTTGTTGAACAAGACCAAGACCTAACAGTCCGAGACAGAGGCCAAAACTGCGACAAAAAAAATAAAAATAGGAATTAAGTCCTCCTTCACTTGTGAACCTTCACTGGGAATATTTGGTAAGACTTAAAAATTCCTGTTTATGAAAAAATGTCAAAAACCACAATTTCACTCTACTTCTATCCCATCAACTTCTGATGACAAAGTCCTTGAAGGTTGTGGCTGTAAGATAAAAAATTGGGGTCAAGTCCAAGAGATACCAATTCTTTTGCAATGTACTGTGCATTTTCTTAAAGCTTTTATTGGCTCTAGTGGCCTTTATTTGACAGTGAATTGGGTAATTATAGAAGGGGGAAGACATACAGTGGTGCAATTGGTAGAGCTGTTGCCTTGCAGCAAGAAGGCTCTGGGTTCGATTCCCAGCCTGGGGTCTTTCTGCATGGAGTTTGCATGTTCTCCCTGTGCATACGTGGCCTTTCTCCAGGTACTCTGGTTTCCATCCACAAACTGTTAAGTTAATTGGTTTCTCTAAATTGTCCCTAGGTGTGAGTGTGTGTGTGCATGGTTGTTTGTCCTCTGTGCTGCCCTGCGACAGACTGTCCAGGGTGCACCCCACCTCTTACCTGGAACATTAGCTGGAGATAGGCACCAGCAACCCTCCCAAACTCACAAAGGGACAAGGGTGGATGGAAGACATACAGCAAAGGTCACCAGGCCAGGAATCAAACCTGCCACATCAAGGACAGGTTGATGTCCTGTCTCTGTCCTGTCTCTGCTGGTGCCTATCTCTCATTAGCTGGAGATAGGCACCAGCAACCCTCCCAAACTCACAAAGGGACAAGGGTGGATGGAAGACATACAGCAAAGGTCACCAGGCCAGGAATCAAACCTGCCACATCAAGGACTAAGGCCTCCATATTGTGCTTAACCCCTGCGCCACCTCAGCACCCCAAGCATTTATTTTATTTAGGGGTTATTTTTGGCTCTAGTGGCCTTTATTTGAAAGTGCTAGGACAGAAAAGTGGGTAATGAGGAAGAGGGGGGACATGTGACAAAAGACATCATGCCAGGATTCAAACCTGGCCACATCGAGGACTAAAACCTCCTTACGTGGGTTGTGACTAACCCCTGCACCACCACAGTTTCTACTACATAGAAACTGAGATGGACTGTTCACTGTCTTCCTCCAGATCCTCTAAACATCACCTGAGAATGAAGATTCCACAGGGATCGGTGATGTCCACCAGAGACTGCTCTCAGGCTGAAAACAGCAGGAACCCTCTGAGATGGGATCTTTCCCCGGACGAGATCAGATCAGTCACAGACACCTTGATAGCCAGAGTGAAGAAGGTCTACGACGAAGTCGGATCTCTACACATAGAAAGCGTCTCTACTGAAAACACGCTGGAAGCCCTGGCCAACGCTAAGCTGGACTACGCATGTGAGTAAAGTGAATTGCTTTCGCTCAGGAAGTCTTTTAGAGAACCAATTTTTGCATTCACCCTGCCAGTTCTCTGTAATCAACTGGTAGGTGAAGGTAAAATGAGTTTTATGCTGTTGTCAATACAGTTAAATTAAAAACTAAGCCTAGTCCCTGCTGTGTCAATTTGTTTTAAGAGTCAAATCAAATACCAATCAAATACACGTTTGAGTCATTGTAAAGACAGTGTGGTTGTTCAGCCGGGGCACCAAACCGGTTAGAACCGCCTCTGTGTCTTGTCTCTGTCGTTTAGACAATTTGTGTTAACACCAATAAAATACCTGTAGTTGTATGCCCAAGGTTATAGTAAAGGTTAGTGTTGTTTATTGTTTTCTCTTCATAAAATTTAGGATGCTCTCTCCAGGAGTGTCATTGTGTTTTTGTTGTTTGTCTGCCCATTTAAATTCCTAATGTGCATATAGCAGTAAAAGTGTTCTTTCAAGCCTTAAGTTCGTTTAGATTTTGCAACACTATGTGTTCACTGTCGTGATGTAACTCAAAGAAAGATTTGACTTTTTTTTTTTTTTTACTGTGAAGTTAATACATAAATGTATTTAATTTCTGTATTATGTTTTCATTTAGGATATATTACATGTCCACAGCATTTCATTGTCAACCTGTCTTAAAATTGGCTCATAGCAAAAAAAGTTGCCATTTTTAAATTCAAAACTTCATGGGATTCAATTAGGCTTGTAGACAGCTTGAGTGTATTATTTTCATTTTACACATGAGGGGGGTGCACCGTTCCTGGAAGTACTGCAATACCAGGTCGATGCGTGGAGTGGACGGAGCAAGCCCCTATTCCATCTCCCTGCTCCAAAAATCAATTTAATATATGGTCCCCGGGTAGGGGACGTATCAGATATTAAACTGATAAGAACAGATACTACACTTGATCTTAGCCAAAAGGCCGAGAAGCGATACCACGTAACTGGTGAGGAAACCATATAAATCTGGACCACCACATTCTGATTCACGGTTCACAAACTTTAACATTTTATCACTCACACAAAACAAATAATGTAAATAGAAATTGTTGTTTGTCAATCACTGATGTTGTTTTACAGTGGAAAATTAAGATGAATGAGCCAAATCAAACTAAAAGCTTGCGTGAAAAAGAAACCGATTTGCTTTGTTTCTGGTCACATGACATGCTGATAGCCAATAGAAAGCCTGGAGGTTGAAAGACGTTTAAAGCAAAGCAATCTCCTCACACAGACGTTTAAATATTAGCATAGCTGTTATACACAATGTCTGCTGTTCAAGCTATTGGATTTACTTTTGAATACATTGAATACATCTGTATGGTTGAAATTAATGAAGCCTTTCACGGTTCTTGGCTCTACATAATGTGCTTACAGCGGTCTCTAGTGGAAAGTTAGAGCATGTTCAGCACAAACTAAACAGTTTTCTTGAGTTAATTTACACAAAATGATGCAAGAGAATATTCTTGCCATTTTTAAATTTATTGTTTAGGGGC